GCAGGTAACGGGCCGGCCCGGCTGCCAGCGCGGCTCCCCGCACACCTTTCCCGCGGCGCCTAACCCCCCCGGGCACCGCAGGCGCCCCGAGCCAGCGCCAGGGGCTCTGCCTCGCACACACAGTCGTCATTCACACACAAACTCCACACAGAAGACCGCCCTTCTTTGGGAACACCACTTATTTATTCAGGGTACGAGACTGTGATAGGGCTTGAGATCGCTCAAAAAGAGGGGATGCATGCTTAATACTGAAAATTCAAATGCTGAGAGTTTCCCTCTTAGCCATTTCACATGTGTAAAAAAAGTGTCAAAAATAGATGTGTGGCGTAAGTTCAAAAGGACGCTCTTTTTCTCCTGAAAATGACATCCAGCTCGCAGGGTCCTGCAGGAGGCAAGGCGCGTCTGGTTTTCCTCTGGGCTCCTGGGGTCCCAAGTTACAACTGAGTTGCTCTTTCCAGGCTTTTTGAAGCATCCTTAAGTTTCCCCACCAAATCCTAAAAGATGTACAGCTCATGTCACAATTTTGGGATACAAGTAAGGAAGCACCCAACTTGGAGGCAGCTGCAAGAAAAAAGTCGGAAGAACACCTAACGAGTCTAAAATTAAAGGTGGTTTTAACCGTTGGCAAATCACTATCAAAAGAAGCGCTTCCCTTACAGGATCTTGTCTTCGAACCAACTATTCAAGTTCTAATTAAAAGAGAATTTCTCACAGAATTTTTGCAGGCGGAGAATATCTAAATTATGTCCACAACTCCTCTAAGGAAGGTTATTATATACATACATTTTCTAACTTTAAGTGTCATTATTATTTAAACTGGAATGACTGCAGATGTCTCTGGAACATTCAATTTCATCCAAATTTTCAGGGATGATCTTCATTTTATTTAATTGGTAAGAAATAAATTCGTTGTCATATCCATCAATCAACGAAAATTTCAATTCTTCAGCTTTACATTGACAATATAAACAGTTTAAAGAACTTATGTGACTTTCCCTTTATAGAGTAATTTAAAAACTACTGCTTAAAATTACAACTTCAGAAGTTTAATTTGTGAAAGGCATTTTTAAATCTCTGCTCTTACTTTTGCCCAGTTTTACTGAATCAGATGCATGACAAACGGAAGGAAAGTGTAGTGAACACACATTTTAGAAGTAAGTTTTAATGAGAAGAGCAAATACAGGCTACTGGAAATATACCTATCTAACTTTGAAAAGTGAAGTCTATGTTACATTTCTGCCATTCTCCTTTGCCATTGAGTCCTGAAGCATCATTCATTATCTGATGACAGGCAGATAGACAGCAGCTCTGAACAGAAAGGAGCATACTCAAAGAGCCTCATACTGTACCTGTAGCTCTTCCATACTGCAGCTAAAACTAATCTCTGGGGAGGACCTGGAATCACTGTTCTGTGGAAGAAAAAGTGCTGTTTATTTAAATCAAGGAAAGGAAAGTTTTTGTTACACATTTCATTTTTAGACAAGGATCTATACCTACCTCTACATTTAAGGTCACCAAATATCCAGGTCGGTACATCTTATGAAGTTGATTGGTCTAAAACAACACAAAACACCAGTCTTTAACCTAATTTTAAAAAAGTTCCCTAAACCCCTCTATAGAGAGTTTGTTAAACTTTACCTTTATCTGATATTCCAAGCGCCAAGAAACATCAGTTATATGAGGGAGAGACCTGCCTATACTGCAAGACAAGGATAATTTTGTAATATCTACAGAAAAATTTTCAGTATCTGCTAAATGATGTCCTCCTCTCCCCCATCCACTTCATCCCACTCTGAACTTAAGGTGCTGTTGAACTTCATCTTCAAAAGAGTAAAAGCATCTAAGATTAAGTCGGGCTCCACCTTTAAAAACATTAGCTTAACTTCAATTGTTCCCCATGCCCTTTGGCCCCTTTATTTTGGGCCAGGATCCCAGGATTTTGGGCCGGGTTTGTTTCACACCAACACACTCCATTCATTACCCACAAGTGAGAAGTGCCCCAGCCTGACACCCAACACAGTACCTACCTTCCCAGTAGGATTTCAAGAGAATTCTTATTATTCTGGGGAGGGGGGAAAAAAGAAGAAGAAAACACATTTTTGCAAACAGAACGGGGAAAGGGGACTAATTTTTAATTTAAAAGTTTAAAGTAAGTAACCTGATACTCCGTACAAAATATTTCTATTCGATCTTGGTCAAATTTACAGTCTTCAAGGTAAGTGCTGGAGGGGTGGGAAAACAAACCGAGGTTTAGTCTCTGTCTTTAGGGACTGAAATTACAATCACAAAGATACCACTTAACAACCCAGGGGCGTTTAGTTAGAGCCAGTACCTTAGAGTAGCTTTGTCAAGTCCGTGCTTCCCTGCCTCCAGAATGCAAGTTGCAGCTGCCGCATGACAATGCTTTAAGACCACTGGGTCGATATGTTTCAAGCCTGGGTGATCTACAATAAATTAATTGCTAATGATTACAGATTCTTTAGACCCCCTGTTCCGAAGAGGAATATTTTGGTTTGGGTAAAACTTCCTTTCAAAAAAAGATAACAAAAATTCAAGTGTCAATGAATGAGATGAACAAGGTCAACTGCAAAACAATAAAGAGAATAATACATCAATAATCTGCTGTCAATCTCTCTTCAATTACCTTTTTATTTTGTCTTAGTATTTTTTAAAAATACCAGGCCTCAGAGAAAAGGGGACAGTGGTTGCTGGACCGACTGGAAGCAAGGGAGAAACTGAAGATGGCTTACACAGTGTAAATTTCAAAATGAACAACTTTGAAAAAAATGACATTTTAGAGTAATTGGTTCCGTGGACATAAATACACCAAGGAAGCTTGACGGGAGGGCATACACTAGAATATACAACAGAAGTTTCAAAATCGCACTAGTTTACACATACACACACACACACACACACACACACACACACACACACAGCCCGCTCCGAGATTAACCCAGGTGGTGGTTACTATTTTTTGCTTTAAGACCAGCTTCCACTTTCATACTTTTTGTCCCAGTGTCTAGTATGAAACCGGGGGTGAGGGGTTGGGGGCGGGGGACGCACACAACCAAAGACATCTGAATTGTGTTGACACATTTAAGGACATAACCTAGACGTGATCTGTCTTGAAGTACGCTCTTAATCCATAATGCCAACCGCATTCTGCGACCAGACATTTAAAACTGTCTCTCTTCCTGGTAACGGCTGCAGAACAAAACATTATGCGCCCTCCTCGAAGGTTCTGGGAGAAGAACCTGGATTTAACACACTGAACTACGGTGCTGGAGTGGTCACAGGATCCGGAGGTGTTCTCGAGGGTGGAAAAATGTCAATGCTATTTGACCCAGCTGCAACAGACCCTTTTCACCCCCCTCTAGCCCCGCCGAGGGAGCATGAATCACAGGACCTCCCCAGTTGAAGTCCAAGTGTCAAAACAGCCGCAGCCTCCGAGAAGGCTGAAAACCCCACACATTTAGGCCACAAACAAGACTTGAACGCGGCTTTACAAAGGAACAAAGAGCCTGGCAGGGAAACCAGGCCAGGAGCGTGGAGCTGGCCGCCTGCAGGTGCCCTGCAGGGGCGGGAACGGCGCTCGGGGCCCGCTCGGGGCCCCACACTCGGGCCGAGCGCTGGGCGAAGCCCGGGGACTTGCCCGGGCCGGGG